CTCTTTTGAGGCAAACTAAAAATGATAATCCGATTTCATGAGAATGACATCCTCGTGAATTCAACATTGCATTCATCTGAACAGCAACTGAACTATTATTTATCTTGAAGAGAGACAGCACAGTTAGAAGATACATGTACATGCAAATCCTAAGTATTTTCCACGAAGAGAAGCAATTGAATGCGGTCAAATCTCCCAAATGCAAACTGCACTCGGCAACTCTTCGTAGCAAGAGATCACAAGGAGTATTTTTGTATGCAGAATTTAAGCTACTAGGCAAAAAGGGCACCTTCGCTTTAAAAAAACTATTATAACCCTCATGACTGAGCGTTCGATGGGCTTTTCAAGCAAGGCAGTAGCAACAATCTTTACACACCATGACAACTACATCTTCAGGAGTACGTCACTGAATTTAGAGGACATGGTACATCACTATGACTAAAGTTTATGCTTTGAGTGAACTCTACATAAAAAATCACAGTTGAGGTTACTACGTACCATGGTTTCTATTGAAATATTGAAATCAGCTCCATTATTGAAATCAGCTCCATTATTGAAATCAGCTCCATTATCCACCAGCAACTGAATAATATCATAGTGACCAATCTCGACAGCTTTTTGGAGTGGATTCAAGCCAAGAAGCTAGGAAACAAATAACAAAATGAGAAAGAAATATGTAAAGCTTACCTTCCCTAATTTAATGACCTAAAGAAAAGTAAAGTTACATGATAAAATCTCCTTTTGGAATCAACTAAATACATCATGGAAAGTCTGACCATAAGGTATTTACGCACTCCCCAGACTGTGTCAGAAATCTCACTCGTTCGCTTCGCTCACAAGTTCGATTTCCGTTACTACCAAATCGTGTGTAAATACCGTACGAACAGACTTTACATGAAGTATTCTTTATATATGATAATTAAATTAAATTTAACCGGCAAATATAAACCAAGATGATGTTGGGCTGTTCAGTAATAGATAGAAGATGACGCAAAAATATGGTGAGAACAGAACAGTTGCACATGGGGCACAGCGTACTCAGTCAGTCGACCTTTTCACCTGAAAAATCGCAGTATGCAGATAAAACAACGCGATCCATATCCGAAATTACTTCATCGAAAGAGAAATTAATAAACTTCATTTTTGAAAGGCCTCTGTGATCTATTACTAAACAGACCCACGGCAACTTGGAATCTATTTGTTTTATATAATAGAGACGCGAAAGGCTGTTATTGGCCACGTCATCTATGCGTCTGTCCTCCAACAGATCTGAGATATAAACCAATCAAAATCTGGGTATAATTCAGCTCATAATATTATAGTATTTGGAATGATTCTTACACATGATCTATTTGAGAACAGACTCACAAATGACGTCACTGTCAACAATATAAATGTTTTTGAATAAACATACATATAAAAAAATACAGATAAAAAAATACAGATTCCGTGTTCCTGTGCGTCTGTTTCGAAATATCACAGAAGACGTCAAAATATATTTAAAACTAAAAAGTGGTACTCGAGGCACAGCTGCACGTGTCACTGACCGTATCCAACTATTTAAAAATCTTTCTCCTTTTAAAAATTTTCAACACTCACCATGCAATTATCTAGCAGTTAAGTCTAGTAAACAACGACTTAATAAGGGTGATTCTGTTGCACGCATCCGAAAAAATCGAAGGCATTCACAAGTTTTACACTTCTTGACAAATTTACCCCTTTTTTCGAATAAAAATATGTGGCATCGAAAGATTTTCTAACGAGGTTGCTTTGCTTTTTATCCATGGCCTAGGTCAATGCAAAGTTTTCTTCCAGTTTAACCGCGAGTTTTTCATTTCCGGTCCGATTGGAGTACACTATTTGGTACTCAAAACATTTCAATGAAAACTAAATAAACTAAGTAATACTCTATTCGGAACAAAAATAGACTTCTTACTTTTCGAGCAACAAAATTGGTTTTGGAGTAAACGATAGTTCGATTACGAAATTTTAAACGTAATACGAACTACAGCTGGAAAATAAAAACTTAGCTTAAAGTAGTTTTTGCAATGATAATTACAAGTGTTTATTTCCTTAAAGTATTGTTTAATAGAGATATTTGCTAAAAGACCCTTCTCCTTTAAAAAAATTCAATACATCGCCACGCAATTTTCTGGACGTTAAGTCTAGTAACACCACTCATCAACGCAAGACATTCATAACTTTTACGCTTATAAAGAAATTAAGCCCTTTCCCGTCTCGAAACTTTTTTTCTGGCCAGGTTTCCATAGCTTTCTGTCCAGGTTTCCTAGTTGCTCTTAAGAATATCATCTAATGACTTGGGTGGCACCATAACGCGTCGAAAGGAAATCGAGAAAGAAATAGAAAGAGCTCGCAACTTCCTGCAACGTATTACTCAACAGCAAAAAAATCTTTGAACAGCCATAAAAAAATTTTACTTTCAAACTCTGACTTAACATATACAATTTATGCTTCTAACGTACCAGTCCTCCTTCGTTGATATCAGCTCCGTTCTTTATAAGCAACCTTACAATATCAGTGTGACCATTCTCTACAGCCTGAACGAGTGGAGTGTCCTTCAAAATATTGCAAAGAAATAACAATGAGATAGTGCAGTAATATATAAAGCGCCACTCATAAACGCAACACATTCATAACTGTTAAGCTTCTCAAGAAATTAATCCCTTTCTTGAATAAAGCTTCCGTCTCGAAATATTTTCTGGCCAGGTTTGCCTTCCTTTCTATCCCAGTTTCCTTGTAGCTCGCAAGCATATCATCTTATGACTGGGATGACAATATAACGTTACGAGAGAAACAACGAAAGAGAAATGGAAAGAGCTCGCAACTTGTTGCAACGTTTTGCTTAACAGCTCCAAATTTAAACAGCCATAAAATATTTGACTTTTAAACTCTGGCTAAGCTCTCCATAACATATACCATTTATGCTTCCAACGTACCCATATTCCTTCGTTGACATCAGCTCCGTTCTCTATAAGCAACCTGGCAATATCAGTGTGACCATTCTTTACAGCTCGAGTAAGTGGAATGTGCCCCAAAATCTAGGAAAGAAAAAACACAATAAGAAGGTACAGTAATACATAAAGCCCACTTTCTCTTCTGTAATGACTAACGTAACGATATACGGTCTAATCTGCTTTAGAGATAATTACACTCTGCAGGTTTTATTTAGCATAAGGTCGGAAGGAGTATTACCTTGTACAACAGTTCACCAAATCATATGGATTTACAATAATAGTTAGAAGGGGCACAAAGAATGAAACAACACGATGAACCTCCTCACCACTGACACGACTTCTGTCCAGCTTAGCCGAGCCGCGAGTTATAAACCCTTAAAGATGGTTCTTCAGTTCCGGTTTATTCGAAATACACTTTTTGGAGGTACCAAATTTAAATGAAAACTAAAGAAATTAAATCATACTCGATTCAAAAACCCTGAT